ACGCAATAAATAACTTGAACAATTCCTCATTGTACGTGTTTATATAATAAAAAGTGCAGTGTTCCATTACCCGTACAAGCCCTCGTATTTGCATAAGTCTGAGCTCAGTTCACCGACAAGGATGCCTGTCCTTGAACGCACCGCCGACCATCTGCATGGCTAAGGGTATACGGATAGCCTTATATGGTTACGATGTTGTTAACCAATCAGACCCTGAAATAACCGGGTATAATTATACACGTAATCACAAATTTAAAATTGAGTTTATTATAAATTCATATGTTACCATAATCGTTCAAATTTCGAGCATTTAGAACATAATTATTAGTGTATTATGGATTTCGCACAATCCTGAAGGTAATGTAAGATTTCAAACATAACAGTAAATGACGATAATTCTCTCCATAACACCAAGAATTTCAAAGAAAACAAAACGCCAAGTAAATTCTACATATCTTCATTGCAAAAGTTTCATAGCTCAGCTCTATCATCAGTTCAAAAAATTATATAATTTCAACGTAATCAGCAATGAAAATGGAAATGGACATGAATGATTAAAAACCTAAGTAAAAAGAAAACAACAACGGAACATTGAAACCTATTGATTGCCAATTTCAAGAGGATAAGAACTGCATTTAAACACTGAATTTAATATGTTGACATCTTTTTCAAATACAGTCAAGAGATTATTGGGTGAACTAGCGATCTAAGCAGACCAATGGTATAATTCTATCATAATTATTTTATATCATTATATTAGCATTTCGCCACGCACAATTATTCATCCACTCTCTATCTCATCCCTCCGACTCCAAATGTTGATTAATTACCAATACTTTAGGTACGAATAACATTGAGGACGGCCAATACGCGTCTGCGTGGGTGATCCTCCAAGTCCACCGCCGCGTTCACAGGCAGCCGCTTGTGTCAGCCTGCCATGCGCGGTGCTTATCAACGAGCTGCGCAGGAATATAATTAAAGCTTCTGTCCTTTGTGGTAAATTTAAATTCATTGCGCTGCAATTGTTTTGTATGGCGTCACTACGTGCTTGGCTCAAAAACACGAAATTTTAGTATCACTTTTTTTTAGCCTTCGTTAAGTTTACTTCGGCACGGATTTAGCTGAAATATTAACAAACAGCATCATATTGAGTTGAATTTTTCTCGAAGACCTAAAAATATAGGCTTATCTTTATGAAAAGCTGAACGTCGCCAGCCCTCACGTGCTGCAACCAACGCCCCTCTTGCAGCTGCTGCAACCAACGCCCCTCTTGCAGCTGCTGCAACCAACGCTCCTCTTGCAGCTGCTGCAACCAACGCTGCACATCTTCTTTTATGAAGAGGAGCGCCGTATTTCATGTATAAATGTTATAGCGTCGAGTCATTCAGTTCAATTATTAAACGAATCAATAATTTTTTTAGTTGACGGTGCAGCCAGAGGAAGTTACATGAATTATCGCCGTTTCCTCAGCTAACCTTATCAGTACTGATAGTAATGGGCTTGATCGTATATGCCATTTGAAATGTTATCGTCACTGTAATGGAGTATCTGCATGACACATGCATTTGCACATTGTTCTTGTGATAAATTGCTTGATACGTTATCGTCCAAGGTCCAATTTTGGAGTGATCTGTGATGATGGAAACGAAAATTGTATTCTTTTAGAGGCGCTAACCAATTTTTCATTTCATTTTATTGTCATTAAACATGAGACTGGTAACATTCGGTTATGGAAATTCCGGTCATAACTGGTTTTGCAGGTCGCTTCATGGGATTTGGCCGCCATATGGGTTATTTGTTATGCCTGCAATCTCAAACCAATGCAAATTTTATTCACTAATAACCAATGCGAATTTTATTGACTAATAACCAATACGAATTTTATTGACTAAAAACCAATGCAAATATTATTGACTAAAAACCAATGCGAATTTGACTGGCGAAAAAACAATGCAAATTTTATTGAATAAAAACCCATGATAATTTTATTGACTAAAAACCAATACAAATTATATTGACTAAAAACCAATGCGAATTTTATTGACAAAAAATAAAGTGCAAATTTTATTAACTCTTTGTGCGACATATTTCAAGTTTTCTGAACTAAACAATTTTGCCCATTCTCATTCATTGTTCAATTTTTGCTAATGCTGCAATCTCTGTTTCTCACGCTCTTCACTTTTTCTTTGATTGCACTTTTAATTTATTATATTAACTGAATCTTTCTACTAGCAACACGTATGATTCTACTCGTTTCGAAGGATTATCATAAAAAAATCATGTACTATTCCCCACCACTGAATATTAGAAGGCCAATTCTGCTCATTTATTCAAATTCCTGTGAACAGTGCCTCGCAAGTTCCTGCCTTGCACTGCAACATTCATTGGCAAACATTCTCAGTTCATCGCACTAAGGCAGAACCAAGCCAACATTTCCGATACATATTTTACGTCTTGACTGAATCGTTCAACTATGGTCGATGCCAGGCATGCAGTCCTTGGTTATGCCGGTCACTCCTATAGCTTACAAGTACAAAAGAACTAATTTTCTTTTCGTGTTCCTGCCTTTCATAGTTACGTATAAGTATTGCTGCCGTAATATATTGATCTTAATTAATCAAATTACTCATTTCAAGATCTTACTTATGCTGACAGCTGACTGACTTGGAAATGTTAATCGACTAAAACTGCGCGTGATGTGGAGAAATCTATTCAATCTGATATGATATTCCATCCTATAGCACTGGCTGAAACCAGAATCATTATGCACTTTTAAAGCAGTCTTGGGCAGCACGAAAATATCTTGCGTACAATTTTAGATGTGATTCATGCTGTTATTTTGGTGATGGTTTTTGGTAATTGTGGCACGTACGCCTAATGTTCGTGCAACTTTTATGAGAGCAACAAACTTTCTTGTGTTGACTCGCAGAACTGACGGAATCAGCAACTTAAATGAACGGAGGAAGCTTAATCGTCCAAATTAAAGCTCTTCTAATTATAGCCCAAAGATTTCGCCTTGAATTTTGTTTGTTTTGTCGCTATAGCACATGGCTGTTCTTACTGAGGCTGCTTCTTAAGAGCTTGTGTTAATTGTATGGCTGCCGTAAGTATCAAATTCCCTAACTAATTTCGTTATTGTTGTAATATACGAAACATATACGAAAGCTAAATTGCGTTCTTGTTCTCTAAATTCTATCCATGAACAATTGCTGTTCTTTAGGCTGGCACACCACACTGCGTTCATGCATCGCACGACAGTTTGTTCATGCGTCAAGCGTGAGTTTGTTCATGCGTTACACGCACTGCGTTTACGCATCACACGGCAGTTTGTTCATGCGTTACACGCACTGCGTTCATGCGTCACACGGTAGGGAGTTCAGCTGTTACTCAACTCTCGACTGTTCACTCACCACGCAGAATGAACGCTGATTGCTCCATTCAAGATTTCTTTGAAAGATTTCTCTTTGATGTACTCCTGAATTGTCTCAGGTTGCATATTCTGTGAAACAAAATTAAGGGCAATGTACTCCTAAATCTTCGGCTCTCAAATATCATGATCGTAGAAGGACAATTAATGACGATTTTCTAAACTATTCTATATTCCCCTCATTTATCCATTTTATAAAAACGCCTATCTTATTCACTGTTTTTCTTTCCTTCGTATCTGTTAATCAGGCGAGAGCAACGAGTGTAGGTTTTAATATCATCGAAGTTGCCTGCAAAATACCGCAACTTGCCAAGAATTCGACCGTGTTTATAGACATCGACTTGTGCGAAGCCTTTCCTCGTCCCTAGAATGCGCGCTCTTTGTTTATTCAAAAATAAAACATTGCACGTAGCTGTATATAATAAGAATAGAATTAATATCTATGTTAATTTTATCATGTATGTCTCAGTGTGGTATATCATGTTCGCAAATTAACCGATAAATTAAAGCAAATAAAATATAATGATAATGGAATGTTATTCGATTATCATTATAGCAGATAGCGGATTTCTCAACAATACATTCATTTGCCGCTCCAAACTGCGTCAAGAAACAGTTTAAGTACACGTAGCGGCCGATCTCTCGTCTATGATTGGTGGGTTTATCATGAGGAGTCGTCAGTGATTGGCTGACGGAGTTACGAACTCGTATTTATTTTTTGTGGTACAGTCCCGGGTAGGTTAATGCTTGTCTCGTTGCATAAGCAAAATTACACCCAAACTCAAAAATCAAACGTGCGCTGATGAAATTATACCTACGATCATAACGTTGTATAATAATACAAGCGGATTGCATAAGTAAAATTATACCCAAACTCAAAAATCACACCTGCGCAGGTAAAATTATAAGTTGTAGGATTATATTTAACTAAGGATAACGTTGTAGGATTATAATTAATTAAGGATAGCGTTGTAGGATTTTAATTTATTAAGTATAACGTTGTAGGATTATAATAGTTTAAGGATAACGTTGTAGGATTATTCAGTCTGGCAAGGGTTAAGGCTGCTTGTCGTCAACATTGATTTTACGCCGTGGCGGGCGGCAGCTGAACTTGGCCTTAATTGCCTTGTGGCCGACCGATGCCAACGACGCTCCTGTGCTCTCAATGCGACTTGAATCTGCCAGAAGATAATTTTAATTTTAGTTGATAAAGCAGCTTCTGGTACAGAAATAAATCGCTTGAAATACAGGATTTTCTTCAATGAACACATTTAACGTCGATGGATAGTGTTTGATTATTTAATGATATTACTTACGATTATCTCTGCCGGCATTCATGTATGCAGTAAACTTTTTAAATGACGGGAAACTCACCTTTTTGCGCATTTTTCTGATACCAGAGTGAGATTTTAATTTTTTTATAAACTGTAAAAAGTATATAAATCGGCCTGAACTACAATGTTTGAACAAATAACTAAGAACCTACAGAATTACTATTATGCTTGGGCAAATAACATGGAATTATAATAGGAATTACGTCATAAATTAAACTTACTTTACGATTTTTCTACAGGATTCATCGTGGCGGCTGCAGAACGTCCAGGAGTCGGAGCTGTGTCAGGCGCTGTCCCGCCTGCAGCAGCTGCAGGTGCTGTCGCTGCACTACCTCGCTACTGACGTCGTGCTCGCCACCACCGTCGAGAACTGCCATGCACTTCGGGTGATTAATTAATATAAAAAATAATATAACTCAGTACTCACTGCAGTGAGTGACAGAGAGCTAATTTTCTCGTCGACGAAAACTTGAGGTCACGGACAGACGGACGGACAGACGGACGGACAGACAGATAGACAGACAGACAGACAGACAGACAGACAGACAGACAGACAGACAGACGGACGGACATGGCGAACACAATAGTGCATTTTTTCCATGAATGATAAAATGCGCTAAAAAGATAATATTGTTGCTAATAGAAATTGCACAGACTTCATAGAAAATTTCACAGACTTTATAGAAAATTGTACAAACTTCAAAGAAAATTTCACAGATTTTATAGAAAATTGTACAAACTTCATAGAAAATTGCACAGTCTTCATAGAAATTCAGACCTCGTAGAAAATTGTTCAGCCTTCATGAAATATTGCACAGACTTCATAAACAATTGTACGGACTTCATAGAAAATTGCACACACTTTATATAAAATTGCACAGACTTTATAGAAAATTGCACAGACTTCATAGAAAATTGCACAGACTTTATATAAAATTGCACAGACTTTATAGAAAATTGCACAGACTTTATAGAAAATTGCACAGACTTTATATAAAATTGCACAGACTTCATAGAAAATTGCACAGACGTTATATAAAATTGCACAGACTTTTTAGAAAATTGCGCAAACTTCATAAAAAATTGCACAGACTCATTTTCTTTGGTTTTTATGCTTAATTTGAAATTTAGATATGACTCATAGGATAGAAACTCCGGAAAATTTTTACGATTTCCTAAATGTGTTGTTTTCGATTCAGTCGACTTTTTAAGGGATGTGTAATGTAAGTTCTATTTCGAAATATTTTCGGTGATCTCATTCCCTGCTCTTACCCCCCGCTCCACTGGAAAATTTATGTTTAAATTTTTTTACGCAAGAAATTTTTGGTCTTCAAAATACTGCTCCCACACTCACCATTCCAATACTGCTTGCACTGGGAATGAGCGACTCTCCTGCACAAGTGCCCCAATTTTACCGCAATTAGTACCCCAATTTTAATTTCATTTTATTATTAGTTAATATGTATATAAGCTGACAGTTTTGTTACATTCACCATGACTTATGGTTATTGTACATATTTCATGCACGGATTAAGGACTAGCTTGAATACATGTTTTATCGCATTTTATTCGAATATTGAATTTTTCTGAACTCTTTATGCATAAATATATTGAAAAGAATGACAATATTTTGTCGCATTTGCAGGTTCCATCAATTGCTTCTAATATAAAGCTATAAATTGAATAATTTTGCGTTAGTTTGTAAATGATTTCTACTCGGCGTAGCTTTACGGATACCAGTCATATATATCGAGTCATTTGTCATTTACGGCACCCCACGTACAACCGCTTGTTGACAATCATAGTGAATAATAGAGTGGGCATGAGCATCAGATAGAAACATTTATGGAACGTTGGACCGTACCAAATGCTTTCACGTTGGTTGCTTTATTGATGAAATTTCCACACACGCACAAAATTTCCACGTCACTCGATGCTCGATACTTTCAATGAGCGTTTCATTTGAATAATATTTCGTAACACCGATGAATTTTCCAGTGTCACTTGATGTTTATGTGAGAATCACTGCTTTTCTACCTCTAAGTTTTACATCATAAAATACGTTTCGTGTTTGATGCTAAAATTTTCCTATTGCTAAAGTTTTGGACTTACAAAGCAATGTCGTGACCAATTAGTACTGTATCGGTATCTGACCTTGCATTAATTTTAATTAAGCCCTTTATTTTTGATTCCCAATCTAAAATACTCGTCTTGCGCAGGTGCTGGATTTATTCTTCTGTAGTGGCGTGACCGACCGCGGGGCGCAATGGTTGCTAGGTCGTCCTGATCCCGCGTTCCGCCATGGACCGCAACTGCAGCCCAGACTGCGGAAGAAGAAGTGGTACGCTGCCGCCCTGCGCTGTATCTCCACGCCGCTCCGTAGAAAGAGGAAAAAAGTCTCGGTGAGTATTCGGCGTAAAGGATAAGTAAACTTTAATGCATTATTCGTGACGACTCATGATTGATTATAGGATCTAACTTGGCATGACTAAGCTTTGCACCTGTTTTTTTACCATGAATATCCGTACTACTTCAGTGATACTGGTGTATTGGCACAGTATTGCTCGTGGAAGATAACCAAAGAGCTACATCATCCAATATTATTTGCAAGTAGAAAAATCAGGGTAGCAGTTGAGAATGTAATTTTCTATGAGTTTAATGAGATTCCATAGCTCACTGAGAGAGCCTTTACCTATAGCGTCCTGAGGGCACTGTTATACATAGCTTACTGAGAGGGTTATTATGGCATTGGCATTGCCTACGAAAAGCACGGCCATCGAGGTCTTATTTTATATTTTATTTTTATGCATTTGGATTGGGTGAACGTATACATCTGAACACAGATTTTTAGAAAGAAAATGCTCGGTTTTACCATCATCTTTTTTGAGTTTAAAAGTGGTAGGAGTTCTATTGCTCCGGAAATCGAGTAAACTAAGTTTCTTTATTCTTGTTATCTCAACAAGTAAATTGAACGGAAAAGCTTTAATAAAATCACATTTATCACTACGATTGGAGAAATTTTGCTGACAGTTTCTACCTTGAAAAAAGGCGAAATACTAGGGAAGTGATGACTTGCTTTTCTTTATTAATGAATTTTAAAAAAGGACTTCCAATTCCTCTCATATTGCTCTTATTTTGTAAAATATAATACTATAACCAATTAAGATTGCTTTTAGATTGGTAATTTCAAAATTTACGGTTCCCATCCAGAGACCTCAAGCCTTTTGATATTAACAGCCACATCTTATTTATCTTCACCTTGGACGTTTAAATTCAGTTTGAAATAATTTAATATGCAGTCTATAAATTCTTTTATGATGGTCTTTATTTATCATACGATGTAAAATATACTGTCAATTAATGCCGTCTTGCCTCTCCGCAATGTGAGTTTCAAAACTTTATAATGTTAATGTCAACAGACAAAGCGATGGATGTTCTGCTGTTATTAGTATCTTTGATCAGTAATTGAACGTGCATATGACCATTTAACATTATTTCAGATTCAGCAGGACGTCATTTACGACACTTACTGCACCAGAACAATCCAAAGCTCGGTACCCTGCGAGGCATCGGTTGGCAGAGGAAGATCTCCGTATCCGCATTTCTCGTACGGGGAAGCGCCGGCGTTTGATCTGTACTCATGCAGCTCTGATTGTGATGACGCGAAATTTGTGATTGAAAATACATCGAAGATTGTTTTGGCTAATCTTACCTACTTGGATCTCCGAGGAACCAGCGTACCGATTTCAACGGTGGAAGCGATAAGGAAATTTAAGCCTAAAGTTAGAATTTTATCTCTCAAGGAGAGCTTGAAGTAATAGTACAGATTTTTCCCTTCAATGTTCGCTCGACGGAGATGTGTTTTTTTAATAAATGACGCCTTCTTAGTTGCAGCGCACTTTACCAAATGAAATTGGATATACCAGATTAGGAAAAACGTTATCGAGTCGACCACGCCACACGATGGTTATAAATTGTTGATGCATAAGTTTGTAATATGTACGATCATGTTTTATGATGGTTAATGTAAAATGTTATTATGTGATTCAACAAGTCACGTCAGCCTGGTCGGTTTTGCTGAACAAGCTAAAAGTCAGAATTCATTTGAAGGATTTTCTGTTCTAAAGTAATATTTCAAATGAATGCAAGTCACCTCGCTTCATCATTGTATGCTAGCATTTTACTGATTACTTATTAGTCTAAGTTTATATTATCGTCTTTTTACTGTGATGTTGTTTGGGTCTATCGCTCCTGAAGAATCCCTTCTAATTGACATTCCCAATCACCGATCATAGGAAGTTTCCTTGTCTCTGGAGGTGGGTTCCTCTTCGAATAATGTTTCCTCTAGTTTTGCTGTTGACTATATTTGATTATTTCATAAAATTTGAGTTTACATGGGAATCGTGTTAAATTTCAAGGCATGGAGTGATTTTCATAAAATTAGACTATTTAGGTAGTCGTATGAAATTTGAACTTTACGGGCAATTACATGAAATTAGGATTTGCCTACAATTTGAAGGTATTGGGAAATCGCATGGAATTTGATGTTATTGGGTAACGTGTAAATTTTAACTTATAGCAAGGGTAAAACTGTGATCGTAAATTGTATAGGCGTTAATGACCCTGTTAGAAATAATACGGTTATGCTTATTATTATGGTTAAGTCAGAGTGATTGTTGGGAATTTATTGAAATCGTTTAAACCGTTGAACAGATGGCTAATTTGCGAAAAACATGGATGAGTAGTAAAGTAATTTATAAATAACTGTTGAATTTGATGCGTATTTTATGAACTGTTGAAAATTTCAGTCGGTACATAGAACATGTTAGAACTGCCAGTAAATAAGAAGTTATAGTATATGTTGAATATATGTGCTCACCTTGCAGACACCAGTACGGCCAGTCTGTATACACATGATATATTAATATCAAGTAGTTCAACGTTGTGTTCTACCAATAATTAATTGTTTAATTAGTTAATTAATGAAGCCATGAAACAATGTTAAGGAATCAAGGAAATTTACATTTTGACAAAATTGCTTCCGAAATTCATAAAACGTATTATATATTATTTGGTCTCCAAGAAGTTTACAAATTTGCGTACTTTATTTAATTCGAACTCATACGTTATTTTTATTTAATTATTTGGTTATGCAGTTACGTGATTATTGTCACAAAAACATTATAATGAACCACACTTTGAATAATTGCATTGACTATATACAGTATGTCAATGATTGCTGCATTATTAACTAACCGCTAATTTTTTACATGTTTTTGCATTATTAATTGAAATATTTATTGCAAATGTCCATTTTTGGACAGATTGGCGCTCGTTCTTAATGGCATTTCATCGAATAAATCTACATAATAATTATTGGACGATTGTTAAGCAGTCGCGTCACCAGACAATAACATGTTAGGTTAATTATGAGTGCATTTTATACTTGATTGGGTGTACTTCTGTGAAATAAACATTCCAGTTCATTTTCGACCAATATAAAAATTTTATCGGTTTAACCTCATGTAAATTTCATTTACGTTTCAGGCGCCATAAATCACCAATTTCATACCAATAGCAGAATACGTCCAAGCCCGGTCCAATGCTTTGACTAGCGCGGTTATCAGTATTAGATTAGTATTAATATCCTGCCATTTCTAGAGAGGTTCAAAATTATAGTACTAGCTGATGCCGTCCTATTTCGCAAGAAAATATTAGCTCGCAAATTACTATCAGGATTGTGAATTTTCAAAGAAAAATTCTATGTGCGCAATTTCATAGCATTTGCATTGCAACGCCTATGGCATATGCAACGTACTCCAGCTGTTAATGAGGTTGCGTGAGAGACAGCGGTTTTTTCCTGACAAATCAAATTGATTTAAAACCTTTAGTATTGGGAATCAAGAATGGTAGGATTATTTAAAATAACATTCAATAAAGTTTTGAAGGATAAGGCATCTGTTCCTGCATGTCTTTTGTATTGCGCAGTGTCATTCACCCTGGTCTCCCTGCTCTTATACAGCATAGTTTTGGTGGATATTTTTTGTGAATTTGAATGTTTTTGGTTTCACCCAAGCCTGGAGCGGTCTTTAACTCAAGAATATGTCTACGAATAACTACTTTGTACGATAATGCACTGAAATTTCTGTAGTCGTGCTTAAAAATTAAATGTTTTGCAGAATATATTATTTACATAATTTCCGGTGATGGTTCATGTCCTGCAACAATTATACATATATATATATGCTAAGAAAATATGACAGAAAATCACGTTTTTTGAGAAAATTAATAAGCATAATCGAAACTTGAATTAAGAAATAAATACAAATCCGGCAGTTCTTGCAGCAGTCCCGACAAAATATGATCTCTGTCGCCTGTTCGTGACTTGGTCTACGAAACCAACACATCTCCCAGTGAAAATTTACAGTCTCGGCAGCTTCAGATTTCGATTACCAGAAGCTGGGGCGACTCTGAATTCTGTTAGGGCTGTTTATGAGTTAACTCAGAATCATTTTCTGATTTAATCCGCAACCTTTGACATGAGCTCGGAAAACAAGGTCAACATCATCGAATGTTGACCTTGTGGCCGTGGAATTAATGTGAACGTGGAATAATTATGAACGCGTTCAAGAACTGGCTAGATAAAACTATGGAAAAATATATGTTCAGATTTGATATGCCTAGCATGTGGAAACTAGCCTGTGGCCGTGGAAGAAGGTCAAATATGTCGGAAGAGCGTCACGAGCGTAAACATTGGCTAGGCCACACTAGTTATATATTATATTTCTTAATTCAAGTTAACTCAGAATCATTTTTTTATTTAATCCGAAACCTTCGACATTAGCTCGGAAAACAAGGTCAACATCACGCGACTGTAAATTTTCACTGGGAGATGTGTTGGTTTCGTAGACCAAGTCACGAACAGGCGACAGAGATCATATTTGTGGGGAGTTGACTCTCTGACGTGAGACTGGTGACTTGAATTCGTGAGCCTTTACCAAGTTTTACTGTGTAAATCATTACAGTAAATCTAGACATCTCGCAAATAAAAATACTTGAAAAACATTAAGTGATATTAGCCTGAGAAGTTTTCATGTGGAAATCAAAGAAACAATCTGTATTGGGAACAAAACCACCGGACAGCCAACTTGTAAATTTAGGTTTTTAACTTCTGTTTGTGTTTTTTTTATTAACTCCAAACTAATTTTCTGCATTTATCTGTGTTCTAGATTTATCGAACTGACGATGGAGCTGGTCTCCGAAACGTTTTCAAAAGAGATATGCTAAATTTTTGTGGTGTTTTCTTCGCTTTTAAATTTCTAAGATAGACAGCTCCGTATCCAAATTGCAATAGCGCTGAACTCTCAAACTACCCTTGAAAAAATCTATGTACCAGAACTTCAAGAAGAAGAAATTGAAGATTTATTGGAACTACTCAGACCCTCAGGAGTCATAGGCTCATGGCTGTTAGAAAGCTCCTCTGTGACCCAGCAAAATCCCATATGCCATTATTTGTGCTGACCTTTTTAGACAAACAATGACCTGAAAACATTCAGATTAGATATAGCAGCTAAAAGTGGATCCATATTATCCAAATCCCATCTGATGCTACAAGTGTTGCAGCTTGCAGGTGGGGACACTCTTCAACCTACTGTCGTAGTCCACAACGCTGCAGTCATTGTGGGACAAACGGACATAGTGGACTAACATGCCAAGAGCCCCCACAAAGTGTGAACTGTAAAGGGAACCATGATGCCTTGGATAAAAGTTGCCCTATATACCTTCAGGAAGTAGAAATTTGCCATTACTCTGTAAATCACCAAGTCTCCTACCCAGAAGTCAACAAGAAACTCTGTGCCAGCCCAGTAAACCAATGGCAATGACAACTCTAGCAACAGAAATCTACAAACCCATGCAACCAGACAGACCCCCCCACCTCAGACACAACCACCAACACTCTGCTCTCTAGCCACCTTCCCTCCCCTAACCTGTCCACAAAAGAAGAATATCAATCCTCTGATAGGTAAAAACACTGCCTCTATACATAATCAACCAGAAAATGTTCAACACTTGCACAACCCAAAATTCCAACTACTGGTTTCCAGCTGGACAGCTTCCCCCTCTAGTAAGTAGCAGCCCAGACTGCTCTCCTATGATGCAGCAGGAGCTGGTTGACATGGAAGAACAAGAATCCTCTCTGCCCCTATTACCACCTCCGTCACCACCACAAATAGGTCCTCAAAACACACATACCAGAACTCCTCATGACCATGCACAAGCCCCCATGCAAACTCCTTCAGCAATACAAATCATCCCAGCTTGGTTCCTATCTTTGCTCCTGTTACTACTGAAACTTCTACTTGCAACCTATTCAAGTGCCAAAATAGAATGCTTAATTGAACTAGGATCAAAATTACAAATTGAATCAACTATCTCCTCACTGCTCACAGAATTAGGCCTCACCTCCCTAACACATTCACAATGACTCTCACACTCCTACAATGGAATATCCACAGCTTTAGATCAAATATCCCATACCTTCAACTGGGGTGACTTCGGCCGCCAGGGTGACTTCGGCCGCCAGGGTGACTTCGGCTGCGTTTTTTATTTTGTTTTGCAAACAAAAACGGGGTCATAAACACCAGGGCCATAAACCAGGTCATAAACGCTGGAGTGACTTTGGCCATCGTTTATGACCCCGCTTTTGTTTGCAAAACAAAATAAAAAAACGTGGCCAAAGTCACCCCGGCGGCCAAAGTCACCCCAGTTGACGGTATATCCAAACAGCACTAGACAACCACACACCAGATATACTATGCATGCAGGAAACAAATGTACCACCCACACACACACACTTACACTTGCATGCTGCCTCCAAGTTACCAGATCAGACTGACTGCTTGGAGGGGGTGGAACATCCATCCATGCCTTTAACAGTATCCCAACAAAAACCATAACCCTGCCCTCACACACTGAAGCCTGTGCCACATGCTTATACCACCCTTCCTTCAAACTTGCCATTTGCTCATTATACCTCCCCCTTGTACAGACAACAAAACTCTCCTCGCCAAACTGACAGACATACTCCAATCGCTCACCACACCTTTCATTATCTGCAGTGATGCAAATGCCCACCACAAATCCTGGGGATCTTCCAACTCAGATCAGCATGGCCGGCTCATAGCAGAGTGGCTTCACAAAAAATAACCTCATACTGGCTGACACAAGTGCACCCACACACATTAGCCCAACAGGTACACTCACACACATTTACCTCACCATAACTACACCAACTCTGGCTCCCTCCTTAACATGGGAACCAGCTCCTGATCCATACCACAGTGACCACTTCCCCCTCAAAATAATCAACGGGGAATAATCAATGTGGCATAACACAGAACATAACACAACGCATAACACTACATGCCAAAACAACACATTGTAACACAAAATATTACACAACACATTATAACATAACATAACACATCATAATTTAATACAATGCAACATAACAATGTATTGTAATAATATAACATAACTCCTCACATGGTAATATTACACCACACATTAAAACTTAACATAACACATCACATTATAACATAGCATAAAATAAAACATCATGATATAACACTATACATTGTAACATAACATAAAACAATACAAGAAATTATACCTCAACATATCATAACTGAACACATTCTAACACAACATATCATGATACAACACATTATAAGGCATTGTAACTCAACACATTATAACACATCATAATGTCATATAACAGATTATAACACAACAAAACATGATACAACACATTGTAACAAAACATAACACAATATACGTAATATAACAGAACACATTTTAACACATCATAACATAAGACAACACATGACAACACATAAACAAAACATAAACCTTTATAATACAACAGGTCACTACAAAACACATGACATAACAAAAAAAATATATTGCACATCATAACATAGCACAGTATAAAACCATAACACATCACAACACTTACAAGAAATCCTAATATAATCCAGCAAATTATAACATAGCATAATCTGTTGTGTCATATTATGTTCTGTTGTGCTATGATATGCTGTGTTTTAATTTGTTATGTTATGGTAGGTTCTATTATATTATATGTGTTATATTATCTTGTGTTTTGTTATGTTGTGGTATAATGTGTCCTGTTATATGATCTTGTGCCATGTTGTGTCATAATGTGTTCTGTTATATTATGTTGTGATATAATCTGTAGTGTTATATTATGATGTGTTTTAATGTGTTGGATTGAGCTATAATGTGTTATAATGTGTTGTATCATATGTTCTGTTACAACGTATGTAAAGTTTTATATTATCTTGTAATGTGATGTATTGTTATGTTACATGTGTGGTGTTATTCTATGTTATTGCAATGTGTTAGGTTATGATAGAATGTATTATAATGTGCTTGGCTATGATATGTTGTGTTATGTGTAGTGTTATGTTATGATGTATTGTGTTATGATAATTTTTGTTGTAATGTGTTTTGTTATAATGTGATGTCATGTTATGTTGTGTTGTAATGTGTTGTGCAGTGTTATGTGTTGTGCCACATTGATCATAAAGCACGTGCATCATTGTTCATCATCGGGCATTGGTCACATCAATCATAAAGCATGTGTATCTGTTGATCAATGGGCATGGCCACATCAATTGTAAAGCACGTGCGTCTATGTCAATCCATGAGCATCAGCCGCATCAATCACAAAGAGCGTGCATCAGTGTTGATCATAGGGCATCAGCCAGAGCTGCACTTTTTTGTTTAGTAAGCATACTGGCAACTTTCTTTCCTGGCATACTGCATACATCTCAAAATAAACCTCTGGTGCACATGCCCCACCTTCCAAACTGTAGGCAATCAATTGTGGCATCCATGCTGTCCATTCTCTGCAAACATCAGCATCCACTACGCTATCTGTTTAGAAGGTGCCTTGGTGTCATTAGGGCAGAATAATGGTGTCCTCAACCTTTATTGTGCCATACTCTACAGACTGGAATAAAAGTATGCATTGAAGTCCCGTTTTAAATCACAGTTCAATTATTCCAATTTCTCACAGTCATTAAATGCCTAAATAATATTGAAAATTTCTGTTTTTGCATGGATTTCAATGCTGATAACATTGAGAAACTTCAAAGTATCTCTCTTCTCATATACATCTTGTTATATAAATTATTATCTGGCTGTAGGTATACATCACCCAAGACCAATTTCAGATCCAATGGGGATCCTCAGTCTTATCAGTATCAAATGTGTATATATAAAAGTCCCCTTACATTGATTGCTAATGTGAGGAAATAGACAGGTATGCATTTATGCTACTAATTTATCATAAAAGTTTTACCATCAGAGGAGGTAATAAGGGATGGGTGGGGTAAATCCAAACAGTCATCCCACATTTCATAGAAATGTTTTAGCTGCTAAACCAATCAAATCATTGCAAAACTAAAAATAGTTTCATGAAGTTAAACATTTTTACTATCTATGTAGCATAAAGCAAATTAAGAAATCATAAGTTTACTACCTGTAAAAATCCCCCCAAAAAATGTGCGAAAACTGTGATTTTAGAAAAGTACCTCTGCTGAGGTCTGTAGTAAAAAAAATATTTGCCTTATTAAAAAATGTTACTTACATGGAAGTTGCACAAAGGGGTTGGCTTACAAACGTGATTGACGGAATTTGCATATCTCATTCCAAAAAGAAACGGTGGCCATTTCCACACAATGGGAGTAATAGGGGACACCCCCCGGGGTAATGAGGGACACCCCTAAAAACGCATTTACAATAGAACCTTGGTTGGCAAAAGCTCCAGTAAACCTAAAAATCAATTACCAACAAAAAACTTTGATTACATTTACCTAGCTCAGTGAAAAAATTCACTCAATGAAAAGTTAATGCATCATTGGTCATCACAAAATTGTGCATAGATTGTGATGTTGCCCGGATTGTGCACCGGGCAACATAGAATGAAAAGTAATTAACCTAAACTATGATTTATTTCTCCAAAATATATTATGGTTGTCACTAATATATTCCTTTCTGTTTCAGGTATGTTTTTACAATCTTTTTTTGTTATAGTGAATTCACTTAACCCAATTAAAATTGTATAAAATTACAAGCCGTCCTGTAAGCTTACAGATACAGATGAAATGCCATATGGCTGCTGATATGAAGCTTACAGTGGACATGGTTGTTGTAAATGCTCAATGGCATGTTATTGGATACGGTAATATTGCATCAATAATATGGTAATGAATGGATATGGTATTAACCTATCATTAAAGGAAAAACAAATAAAAATCACTGACAATGTCATTTATTCTACACATGCATCATCTACAAAGGAAGAGGAAGAGTTTAGAGTACTGTTAGTAATGGATGAGTACACTCCGCATGCTTCAAACGTTTTAAAATAAAACTTTTTATTTCAAGTGTCCCTAATTACCCCCTTTCCAGGGGTAATTCGGATGCTTTTATTTAGTGTCTGGCACCTTACAAATATATGGAATTTTTCAGAAATGCCAGACAGTAGCCCTTGCAAAGAGCTTTAAAATGAGCCCAAACTTGCTTATGAAATGTTTCATGGTAAGAAGTTATTAACAAAAAACACTATAAACCATCCCTTATTGCCCTGTTTGACGGTATTTATGAATACAAAAAAGAAGTCAGTTTTTGAATGCCTAACATGGACGTTTTGATTAATTTTAATGGGAAAATAGGTTTTCTTTATGAAAAAATAAGCATTTTATTGGCAGCATCATGACATTTGCTACGTATATGAAATGAGTTCTCAGTTCCTGCATTAATTAAGTTTGTAAGGTGGGGTCCACTGCATGTACCGTATTTTCATTTTATAATATTTTATTAAGGTACGGTACGTACTGATATTGCTTGTAAAAATATCATGCAAATAGATACAAAATGAATGAAAAGATCATCAATTTTGGTACTCTTGTTTACAATTGAATTTCATGTGCACTCATTTATTTCTTGCATGGAGTAAGTAAAGTAATGTATGGAGCAATAAGTGGATAATTTGAGAATTGGCAGAAGCAATGTTACTTATCTGCAAATAAAAACCAGGCCTGACGGAGATAGGTTGCCTTTTATGACAGGTTACCATTTAAGCCATTTAGGTTTTCCTGCCCTCATGCAATTTTCTTATGAATTACCTAATCCTAAAATAACCTTGATGATAATACTGCACTTATTTTCTATTTCATGTAGTGTTGAAGTGCTTTGCCCTGTGATATGAGCTGCAAAGTTGTACAGGATGCTTGGTGCGAGTTCTAGCTTACAGGAGAGTGGTCTTGACGCCCTTATATGTGAGTAGCTTTACTTGTGTCATCTTGATTTGTTGCTGTCAACTTCTGACAAATGTTATCAATTGAGAGTTTCTTCTTGTTGTCAAAGATTCAGACTTCTATTCAATTATGTTAATTATTGATTAGCATTCTATTTTACTGTTGAACTCTTAGTTTTCATGAATAAGGAATACATACATTCATGCCACAAAATCTCTTGATATATGTGCTGAAGAAATTGTGTTGATATAAGGTATTGTAATAATTTATTATGATATTGTATATGATAATGTAAGTCTAAAATAAATTATGGTGATTCTTTGCTTTAAAAGCTATTTCTCATTGTACAGTGAATGCAACAAACCCTCTGGTTCGGCATGAGGATCCCAACTCGGTGCAAGCAGTTGTTCAGGCCGTGTGTCAAGATCCTGTTCCTGCCTCAGCTGTTGCAGTACGCATCCTTGCTCACAAGATACACTCTCCTCAGCAGCGTGAGGCTATGAAGGCACTCTCAGTGAGTCAGCTCCTACCACATTTTTTAATTTCATGAAATTTTGTTTAACTAGTGATAAAGTAGGGAACTAATTTAATAATTGTTTCATAATCTTGAAATTTTTCTTTTCTTTTAGCTCTATTTAGCCAAGAGAAAATTTAGTTAAAATGATTCATACTAAATGAAGAGGTCTCATCAATTATGTCTCACATCTCTCTTAACTAATTTCATGTACATAGCTAGCTGACATAAGTAGTTATTATAACCAATTATAAATAACTGGTTACAAGGGTAGGGTGGATATCGATTCTACTTAGCATGAGAAGCATGAGGGAAGTACCTCGTAGACTCCTGCCTTTGGAACTTTTTACAATCGAGACGAGACGATACAAGAAGCTTTGTCCCGGTTCACAATAAAAACCGGGACAATTTTCATCAGTCAATGGGAATTCCGGGATGATACCAAGACAAGATGAGACGTCGCAGTTAAAATAAGAGGTTTAAAATTTCCCAGAATTTATATATTTTATAACGGTACATAACGAGGCGAACCACTTAATGATGAGATGTAGACTTTGTTCTTGGTTTGTAGACATATACTAAAACTTGAGACGTATTCATTGACAATTCCGATCGTGGGCTTGGCAATTAGGATTATTTTTGCTGCATATCGTTATTTAACATGACACTTATTTTTGACAAGGGAAATTAAAATTATAATGAAAATTTGCATATTTTTTATTTTTCCATTTTGTAATGTTGTACTTTAATGCACATTAAATATATTTTCTCATGATGAAGAGTAAAGAAAAATCTTCAGTGATAAAGTCTTATTAAGTCCATAATTTAATTAAGTTTCCGCTAGTTTAGGTCCCTCATCAGTCAGCACTAGATGGTCCAGCAACAGGGTCTTAAGTGACAGCCCTTGTATTTATTTCCATTTGGAGTCAGGTATCTTGTGATAAGTTGTGTAACACCTGCACGTACTATATGCCATTTTGTAGTTTCAGAGTTTCTGGAGGAGGCCGTTCTTGCTGATGACATCGGTTGACTTGATAGACTAATATTGCCTCTGACTCCATGGTCTTCTAATTGTCTGACTTACCTAGTGACAATGTTTCATTTACAAGCGATGCGCGCCTGAACTCCTATGCAACGCGTACTGAACTCGTAAAATTCTCGCGTAAGGCGCGGTTAAAGGCTGGACAGCAACATTATTCACTCAATATTCAACCATCCATAGCCAAATCTGCCAACTAATTTAACTACCGAATTAGTTTGGCAGTTAAATGTCGCCACATCTGCAAATGACCGGCAACTGCTCGTTAACAATCAGGAGCTAACATGTTATTCCTTAATACGCTCACTCAGAACGTCTCGTTTTGTCTCGAATATTCAAGGTATGTCTCGTCTCGTTACGTGAATGCTCGTTTCATTTCTACCTGTCTCATATCGTTTCATAATTGCCGGGACACAAGTTTTAAAGTACGGGACACGAGTCTTGTTCCGGTTCATACGTTTATTCCGGGATAAATTTTACCCTCTGTCCCGTTATTTTTGTCCCGGTAATTTCTCGTCTCGTCCCGCGGTTCATTTCGAGAAAATTATTCCGAGACGCCGGAGTCTAGTGCCTCGTTTGAGGGAACCACTTTTTTTTTGTGCCATCTAGTGTTCCAGCTGTTCCAGCAGCCCAGCGTGGTATGATAGGCTTTGGGTTTGGGGTGCAATTCCAAGTGGCTTAAACTGATACATTTGGCCCAGACTACCGTGCATGTGTCACTTGGATGAGTTAATGCTAAAAACTCCAAGAAGATAATGGCGTTCAGTAATTGGAAAAGGTAGATTTAATGAAAATTTTTACCCTTGAAGATATGCAGCTGCTTTTGTACCATTTATTTACAAAAATTCTTAGGTTACAATTTAAAATAATGATTATACTAGTTAATTCTGGAAAGAATGTGATCATTACAGAGCTTCCTTTAAGTTTATTTTAAAATTCGTATCATATCTGCACTGGAGCTTGCATGACTTGAAATTTCTTGTTGTCAGAATTGTTGTGATGATCTTTTTAATATTTGATCGTCTAATTGCCCTAAGATTATTTGTTTCAGGTGATCCAAGCCTGTATTGTGAACTGCGGTCCCGCCTTCCATGCGGAGATTGGCAAGTTCCGCTTCCTCAACGAGATGATCAAGCTGGTGTCACCAAAATTTGCAGGTCAGGTGACCTCGCCAGAGATTAAATCAAGAGTCATTGAATTGCTGCACTGCTGGAGCAGAGATCTCACTGAAGAACCAAAGATTGCTGAAGCTTATAATATGCTGAAGAAACAAGGCGTAGTCAAGGTGAGTCCTCTCCGGGGTGTCTTTAGGGTCCATGTGTCACTCTAATGCTACTGATAATATTTTTGACCCTTCAAATATTGAAGTAAAATGTATATTGATAATTCCATCATAGCTGCACTGCTGTGTTCAGAGGTTTTATCATTGCTGCCCTCTCTTCTCTTCAAGTCATTAAGATAATTATGAATAAAATGTTCATTATATTGAGTATCTCTAGATTTTATTGTAGATTTATTGTCGAAGCATTTAGCCTAAATCACCATGGTTTGTAATCTCCTAAATCATGATTACAAATCCTTAATTGATGGTAAACTTATTTAAACTCGGCGATTCTACATCTACTTGTCGGAGAAAAATTCTTCTTTATCCAGAAGAAGAACCTTTTATGTCCAGATGATATGAAGATATAAATCATGCATTTCATGCATTCCTCACGACATGAACAACTCACCACGTCTCACACTCCATCATTTATGAGCAGGAGGACCCAGCTTACATCGGTCCATTATTCGCCACGACGCCCACGCCGCGCCCTGCGAGCTCGACCATTGAAGACTCTGAGCGCTCGCAGCAGCTGCAGCGCCTCCTGCAGAGCAAGCGGCCTGAGGACCTGGACAAAGCAAACGCCCTCATCCAGGCCATGGTGCGCGACGACCAGCGACGCATGGAACGCGCCAACAACACCCTTATGGAGGTACCGTGCAGCTCATGGTGCTAGGGTCACCGTGACAGTATTGTACCACAACATCCTTATGGAGGTACCGTGCAGCTCATGGTGCTAGGGTCACCGTGACAGTATTGTGCCACAACATCCTTATGGAGGTACCGTGCTGCTCATGGTGCTAGTGTCACCGTGACAGTATTGTACCACAACATCCTTATGGAGGTACCGTGCAGCTCATGGTGCTAGGGTCACCATGACAGTATTGTGCCACAACATCCTTATGGAGGTACCGTGCTGCTCATGGTGCTAGGGTCACCGTGACAGTATTGTGCCAACAACACCCTTATGGAGGCTGACCTCTTCATCAACATATAACTTCTGCTTAATATGACCTGTCAATGTAAAAACTGCTGTGCTTGATCAAGGTGCCATAAACAGATTGATACATACAAACATTAAAACTGAAAATTTTTTGGTATAAATTACGCCACGTAGCTCAAGCATATAAAAAGTAATGTCTATGTAGTAACTGTCATATTACCTAAGTGTTGATGCTCAGTGATGCGTGCAGCTTGAGATGGCCCGCAACAACGTCAAGGTGCTGGACGAGATGTTGAGTGAGCACGAGCAACGTACGTGTGACTCGACGCACGTGTCGCTCATGGCTGAGCTGCACGCGACCTGCACGCGCCTGCGCAGTGCGCTCTACCAGACCATCGCGCAGAGCACCGACGCTGCTTCTGAACATATCGGTTAGACAACTCTGAACATATATTTTATTGTATTACTTTATTTAGAGGCAAAATAAGCTGCTCAGTTTGTTTAAACACTTAATAATGTGCTGAATGAACACCTGAGTTATGATAGACTGAACTTCTGAAGCAATATCTCCACATTACTCGTGATAAATGCTAAGTTGGACGAATAAAGGGCTTCGTTTGACGTTCATAACTCAACGTTTGTCTTTCTAAACATGACCCTTCAGATGAAAAGTTCTTTGCTTGACGTATTAGGCGCGCGGTTTGACTGTCTTACCTGAGTTTTTTAGTGTTTATTGCCTCATGGGGATAGGACAGCATCTGAGTTGTAACACGCTGCGTGCGACGCATTAAACGCAGAGTTGTGCGTGTCGAACTTTGTGTTTGACGTGTAAAAGGTTGCATAAACTGCCCTGGCCGGCGTGTAAGACGCTGTCTCTGACGTATTACCTGCCATGGCCGGCGTGTAGGACGCTGTCTCTGACTATTACCTGCCCTGGCCGGCGTGTAGGACGCTGTCTCTGACTATTACCTGCCCTGGCCGGCGTGTAGGACGCTGTCTCTGACTATTACCTGCCCTGGCCGGCGTGTAGGACGCTGTCTCTGACTATTACCTGCCCTGGCCGGCGTGTAGGACGCTGTCTCTGACTATTANGTTGGCATGTTGGACGCTGTCTCTGACGTGTCACCATCTCTGGTTGGCATGTTGGACGCTGTCTCTGACGTGTCACCATCTCTGGCCGGCGTGTAGGACGCTGTCTCTGACGCGTGTCACCATCTCTGCAGGAGAGATGATCGCCGTCAACGAGGACCTGACGCGGGTGATGGGCCGCTACGCCCTCCTGCTGCAGGCCCGCGCCCCCACCGCTGCCTCGGCGCCCCCGCAGCCCCGCCCCTCAGGTGAGCCTTCGTCGGGTGCACCTCCCGCACCTCACCTTGGCAATATATTCATAATAAAATTTGGAATTTATTCCCAGCATGAAGCACGCATTAAACGGTTCATCTCTAATCTGAATGCGTTAAAGAGGCAAGGAGGGCACAAGAATATCTATTTTCGTCGGGCTTTGCTATCCCAAGTTTCTTGGGTTCTCTCCTTAATGAAATGCTTTCTGTATTTAAATATTAAATGTAGTTTTTTCCTCAACAGTCATTAGTTTCATTTAAAATGAGTGAATGTTGACAACAGTTAGAAATTTTGGTGCATGCTGTCATACCGGTTTATGTGATCATATCATGTATGTTTTTACAAAGTTTTTTGCTGTATTTACAAGGTTTACGCTGTATTTACAATGTTTTATGCAATATTTACAATATTTTACGCTGTTTTTACAAGGTTTTACGCTGTATTTACAATATTTTACGCTGTATTCACGCTGCTTGTCGCGCAGACAGCGGGGAGGTGCTGCTGGATTTGTCCAGCCCCCACAAGACGAGCAGCAGCGCCGCGTCAGCTGACCTCGTGCAGGAGCAACTCAGCAGGTTCGGTAAGTCAAAGATCTGGTGAGCCTTTATTTATTTTGTGATGATATTGTGACGACAGTCGCTACATTATTTTATGATGATCCTGATATTGTGATAACAGTTGCTGCACCATCTTTTGATTTATCCGGATATTGTGATGACAGTCGCTACATCTATCTGTATATTGTGATGGCAGTTGCTACATCTATCTGTATATTGTGATGGCAGTCGCTACATCTATCTGGATATTGTGATGGCAGTTGCTACATTATTTTATGATGATCCTGCGTATTGCAGATTAAATTCAGTATAACAATTGGGTCTCTTTAATAGAAAGTAAGGAAGAATGTTTTACCAAATCATCGTCTAAATTGGAGAATAAATAAAATAAAAATCAAGCTGGGACGAATAAAATAAAGTATATTAATATACCTACATTATAATATAAAATGATAAAATTAATAATATACCTCTAGTAAAAATAATATAGTAAATAATTTGTAATAAAATGCTGGGACGAATTCCTAGATCGAGCTGCAAATGACGAATTGACAAAATTTTGTCTCCAGATTGGCCGACATGATTGACAACACATCTCATCGAACATTAAGGAATGAACCGTAAAATGGGGTAACTTAGACCACTTTTTTTCTTATAAATGATGCCATTTTCTTACTAGCTAAATTAAACTTGAATTGAAACATGCAAAATACAGGTCTATACTCTAGCTTCACTCACCATAAATTGCTTTATGTAGCCTCAGTATTAGGCCTTTAATGCCCATTGACAAAATTTTTCTAAGTCAAATAGTTTTTGAGTTTTGGGGTTTTTTGTAAAGAAAACGAAAAGTGGTCTAAGTTACCCCGCCGGTCTAAGTTACCCCATTTTACGGAACCCTTGTTGTCTTCGCGGTTCCTGAATAATTTTCATAAAATGAATCCTGTCCTCTCAAAGCTGCCCTAAAACTTATGTCAACGGTTGCCCTAGTCTTCATTGTGCTAATTAACGAAAAGAACTGCGGTGATCTGGGCTTATTGCAAGTCCGTCTAAGCGTCTATTTTTGACAGCTAACCAATTTTATGGAAAGTTGTCGCGAAATCTCAATTTCCTGGACTGTCTTTCTGCAACAATTTCTAAACTCTTGTTTAAATTTGATTCCAGACGTTAGAACTTTATATTACTGATATCAAATGAAGAATTAGTCCCCATAAGCTGATGAATATACAGGGTGGGCCAAAAGACACTGAACCATTTTAATTTTAAATAATTTTTTTTAATAGTTATATGCATGAAATTTTATTATCGGAAAGTTATGGTGGAGGGAATAGATTTTTTATCACAAATTCAATTGTATTCTTATCACAAATTTACTTTTAGTAAGCTTAAGAAACTTTATAGTTAAATGTGAAAAATGCACATGTCTACCATTTTCTGCTTCATAAATTGCTGCTCTTTCTATTACCTCTGCCATTACCTTTTCCAAAGTTTCTGGGCATATTTCTGTTATTTCTCTAGTGATGTTTTCCTGTAGCGCCAGTAATGATTGCGGCTTGCTGGCATAAACCTTTTCCTTTTGGGTTTGAATTATCGAGCCTTGATTTTGATAATAAAATTTTACAATTTGTGTTCGTTGGACGGTACTGAAAATCTCCATAATTGATTTGCAGGATCTGGGGAAAAAAGTTTTAGGAAAATAAATATAATATAAAATAAAAAGTTATTAAAAATAAAAGGGGTCTGTGACTTTTGGCCCACCCTGTACAATATATAACATAATCTGAATTGATCTGCTCAAATTTAGTTTAGAATCCGCCATTTGTATCTGACTTGATTAGTATTTAAGTTGTGTGTATCTATGATACGCAGGCCTGGCTGACGACCTCCCTGCTGCTCCCCCCGCCCCCACCACCCCCTCAGCCCCATGCAGTGCAGCAGTGCTGCTGCAGGAGCTGGACTGTCCCACGTCCTCTTCAGTGGCGGGGCCTCCCCCGTGTTTTGATGTAGCACAGCTCGCTCCTGACGGGAGGTCCCCAGACCACTCCTCCCCGGCTGAGGGGCTCGACCCTCCTCTCATCCCTCTGTCAACCCCCGTCACTGCGCCCCAGACCGCGCCAGGTACAAAACTTAACGACTGTTATTATCTCCAGACAAACAACAGCGCTTATACGTGGGGATTCTCTCATATTGAAGACTCGAATGTTGATTGCCTTGATTATCAATAGATTTGTGAAGGTGCCGATGGTTAAGATTTGTTAAGGTGATATTGGTGCCTATATTCTAATCTTTGCCTTGCAATGCGCTTGTTTGAGCAATTCATTAACGTATTCTCGTAAAATGTATTCTCGGACGACCTCCCTTTCCGAAAGAGTCGGTTTAAACATTGAAATAATGCCTTGATTGTGTTTTCTCTGGTTCTGCTGAGACTGTTTTATTGTTCTCTTCTAATTTATAATTGAAGTATCAATAACACTTTTTTATTTATTCATAGTCTTTTGCATACCGTTAGATAAATTTTCGCAGCACTTGGGGGTAATAATTAGGAGTAATGCTGAGTAATAATATAAGTTGCAAGTGTGACATGCGCCATAAAAATATTCTCTTTATTCTAGAGCCGAGCATCTCGCACGTGGACCCCCTGACAGCCTTGAGCTCGTCTCTGCTGCAGTCTGTGCTGCCGCCTAACCAGACGTCGCTCGGCCACTCCTTCTCTGCGCCCACCAAGCTCTCCATGAACCAAATGAAGCTAATGAAAGCCAGCGCCCCTCCTGCCTCTATGCCCACTTCTTCAAGTAGCCCTCTTGATCTCAAGCCAACACCCGTGAGCTCCAGTGAAGTCTTAGAACACAAGCTGCCCTCGGAGAATGTTTCCTTAGCTCCCAGTGAATCAAAAGCAACTTCGAATTCCATTATTTCTGGCGTGCTGGATAATTATACATCTGGTGTTACTGGACCACGTGCGGCATGCGCTGGCGAGACCAGCCGTGCTGTGCCTAATATTTCAGGGAGCAGTCATGGCAGTGCGGCGTGTAACTCTGGCATTAAACTAGCGAATGGCAACATAGAATGTCTCTTGAATGGCGACAACCCAAGCGGTAAGAAGGCCGACTACGACACGGGCTCACTTTCTCGCGCACAGTTCCTGGACGTCAAGCCTCCAACCGACATCTGCGTCGACATAGAGTCCATACAGCCAGGTTAGAGTGAGCAAAACTTCGCTAATATTGGCCAACTATGGGCTTTCTATGCAGGCGTGATTTTGCTGATATGTTCCTTCTTATCTGGAACTTACTGCGTGTTCTAAGAGTAACACATGTATTAGCAGTTAAGGGTGTTCTGACTGGAAGGCATGTTCTGGCAGTAACGCATGTTCTGACAGTAACGCACATTTTGACAGTAACGCGTGTTCTGACAGTAACGCACATTTTGACAGTAACGCATGTTCTGACAGTAACGCACATTTTGACAGTAACGCGTGTTCTGACAGTAACGCACATTTTGACAGTAATGCGTGTTCTGACAGTACCGCACATTCTGACAGTAACGCATGTTCTGACAGTAACGCACATTTTGACAGTAATGCACATTTTGACAGTAATGCACATTTTGACAGTAACGCACATTTTGACAGTAACGCACATTCTGACAGTAACGCGTGTCCTGACAGTAACACACATTTAGACAGTTCCGTGTGTCCTGACAGTAACGAACATTCTGACAGTTCCGCGTGTTCCGACAGTAACACACATTTAGACAGTTCTGCGTGTTCTGACAGTAACACACATTTAGACAGTTCCGCGTGTTCTGACAGTAATGCTTGAAAATAACCTGTATTGTATTGCGCAGGCACGCGCGCTCCGATGACGCTCATAGAGACGCGTGCCGTGAGCATGACGTTGCACCACACGCTCAACGCCCCCCGCGCCGATGTGAGCGTCTACGTGCTCACCACGACGAGCAGGAGCGCCGCGCCCCTCACGCAGTACCTCGTGCAGGCGTGCGTGCCCCGCGCCTGTCGCGTCCTCCTTCTGCCGCCCTCCGCCCCCAAAATGCCCCCCTATCAGGCGAGTGGACTGACGTCAGAGGAGGAGGCTGCAACCCCAACCAGGTGAGTGGACTGACGTCAGAGGAGGAGGCTGCCACCCCAATCAGGCGAGTGGACTGACGTTAGAGGAGGAGGCTGCAACCCCAACCAGTTAAGTGGACTGACGTCAGAGGATGCTGCCACCCCGACCAGGTGAGTGGACTGCCGTCAGAGGAGGAGGCTGCCACCCCGACCAGGTGAGTGGACTGACGTCAGAGGAGACTATAGAGTGTTTTTAATTAAAAAATTGTTTTCATTTCCCACTTTTCGACTAGTAGTCACCAGAAAATGGTTGATTTCAATCAATTGTGCTGAAGATTGCCGTGCTGTGTGCAGGTGAACGTGTCGCTAAAGCTGATGCTGAGCTACAACATCAATGGCGACACCGTCACTGAAATGGCCGAGGTCGACAACCTGGAGCAATAAAAAGACCATCAAGTGCGACTGGACAAATTGTGTGTTTAAATTATTCAAACAAAGTGAAATTAGTTACAACTTGAGACTGTGGCTTGCAACAATCATCATGTCAGGTGAAAAATTGCATAATTATTTGAGGAGTTAGCATCAAACCATGCCAGCTGAGAAATACATAATATACTGGATTGAAAATCTTTTCAAGTTTTGCAACGACACCCAATGAAGAACAGTTCCGGTAGAGAATCGTCTCAATGAGTTAGGTATGGTGAGTTAAGTATGTATGGTGAGTTAATTATCCAGTCATACTTCATGGCAATGAAGTTTGACTATAAATATTTCGTGTACTCCCGTCCTGTCCGGACTGTTTCAGTCCGTATCCGCAGCTGTGCTGCGTGACGCGCTAGTCTCTCATCCAAAGTGCCCGCGGCTGCGGTAGCCCCTGGCCTAGTCAGGCCCGTGCTCAGCTTCTGTTTCTGGGCTTTCTTTTGTAATGTTTTTTGAGGATCTGTAACGTACCAGCGAAGATTTCTCACCGTTTCAACTCGCCAAATGCGCAAGTGATAGTCAAGTTACAACTGTTCTTTTTTTCTGTTAATACAGAAATGGCCTTTAAATGATATTATTTATTGTTACTCAATTTGTCCCAATGCAACTCAGACTCGCGGCATCGTTCGTTTTGCCGACGACTTTTTTCCGCCGCACTAGACATTACAGCGCCTGAGGGACTGGCCCTTGAGTGGCGTGTCCTGAACATGTGTAAGCTTGCTACAATTTATGATGCCTATTTATTAGCATCAGTGGCGTGACTATGTACTTAGTTCGCATTGTAAAACTAGAAAACGCAGTTACGCTAGAGCGGTGAATGCGGTTGATATTATTTACAATATGCACAGTATCCAGTTTTGCTCGGCAAGTGTGTTTATTAGGAGAATGAGATATTTATGTTACTTCTTAATATTTGATAAAATTTTAATTTTTGATTTCCTTGCTGACAATGTATGTTGACTTAGATTTTAAGTCCCAGTGAGTAAGGAAGAGTAGTGTCTTTCAAATCTGTTATAGTATGATGAGTTGAAAATAAATAAGTTAATTTATTCCGTTTCTTATCGTAGTTTATATGTTTTATGCCAGCTTGCAATGACATTCATTTGGCTGTAACACATAATATGTCACGGTCGCATAACAAGAATTATCTTTGTGATTATCATAGAGAATGAACTTTTTAACATGATAAATCAACACAATTCCGCATGATTAATTCAGCCTTTTCAACATACGTCATTTTCTTGTTCAACGTGACCTTTTATAGGTGATTGCCCGCTAGCTACTGGTCTCAGTTGCAGGTATATTGGCACAGATAAATAGGATTTCTGATCATCTTTTCCCCCTCAGGGGGGACTTCTGACGGGTGTCTGTGCTCGTCAGAAGTCCTATGGGATTTCGCGCTCCTAGGGGGATTGTTCCTGAGCGCCCCACCGCTGAGCTCGCGGTGTCTGACTGTAGGTCTCAGTTGTGGGGTTAAGTTATTATGTAGGCAGGATTCCTTACATTTCCCTTCTCTTTAACGCTGCTTCCTTCGAGCCAGCTTCAGCGGGCTGGACATCTGAGACCTTCCGCCCCTTGTGGGTGATGAATAATTGAGACCTTCCACCTTTATGGTGATGTTCATCTTGACTTTCGGTGCGAGATAGCTTAATAGCTGAAGCGCTAGTAAACATTTGGACACTAAACTAAACTAAACTGATCATCTTTTCATGTTTCCTGAGTTTCGATCACGTGGCTACTTTCTTACGCTGGCGACATCTTTCACTGGGATCTACACGCATCGCTCTGTGCAAGTCTGAGTTTCATGCCACGGAAATGGCATTCCCTGCTTCAAGTTCAGCGCTGGCAACTCGATGCCTCTCCTACCTGTTCATTATGTATGTTTTTATGTACGTCTTACGGAATTTTTAATTATATGGCTCTAAGTTTTGTTCACTAAGGCGCAAGATCAACTTTTCATATTTTGCAGTTGTGATGACATGTTCCAGCTTATCGCAGAGGACTTTTCAATGGACTGATGGTCTCACCTTGCTGCTCATGTCATTATTAGGATTCAATTTTCTGCGGGCAATAGAATGATTATAATTAGTGGCTTAAAAATTAACCTAATTAAGTGCGACAATTAAGTGTTGTTTTCAATTTTAATTTCTATTGATTCTCTTCGGGTATGATTGATCTATGCTTTATTTTATGGATTAAAGCGATCATTTTTCTGTTCTAGCTGCCTATTCTCATCGCATTATATAATTGAATATTCATGTTCTGTCACATTGTGCTTCTTCTTCCATTCATTGAATGATCTTTATTTAAGAAAAGCTTTTGTTCCTTTATTGTTTATTCAAGTATACGCCGAAGGATGTCACTCTTGAGCTTTCTCGCTTATTATTAGTTGACACATCGTTCCCGCTTAGCTTCGCTGTCGTTTGTTTTGTATTGTAAGTGTTATTGTTTCTTATTGCGTCATTTCATCACGACCCAAGCCGCTGGGACTCACGTCACTCCTGTCTCTGTACGGGAACATCGTGCGACGCTGACGGGAAAGAACGTCCCGTCTTTGTCAATACGTGGTCACGCTGGGCAAATTATCTGTTCTTATGGATTTTTCAACACGTTTGTAGCCTGTGCTAATGTATTTTATGTTCACTGCTCGCTATCGCTCGTGCCTGAATAGTACCAATCATCTTGTGTGACGTGAGCTCGCCGCTATCTTGTATTTGAGGCAATATTCTACTCATTACTGCCTGTATGAAGTAATCTTGCGGGATATTTCACCCGAAGAAACGCATTTATTGCTGTTTAAAAAATGTCAGCATTTCCCTCTCGATTTCACGAGTCCGAATCAGTATATTAATCATTGAATTGTTTCCATTTAATCCGATAATTTTTGGTTGAGAAGACTTTTTTTAACTTTTTTGTCTAACACAATTGACTAAGTTATTAGACGTTGGCTTATATCACAAACGACCATCTCAACCATTGCGTGTATTTTTTCCTTACGTTCTAGAATTATCTTTGTTCATGAAACATCAGTCGTTATCTTTGTTAGATGTTAAATCCTATCCATATTGTATGAACAAAACTGTTTATAGTCCGTCAGACTCCAGAAATAGTCTATATTAATCATCGTCGCTGTGTTCTGAAATTCTATATGAAGAGTTCCTCCGAAGATGGCGGTTGTCAATATGTTTAATCTGGGTAATGATGTTAATTTTACGCAGAGTTGATATGGCAATCTTAAATACTATGTCATAGTTTATGTTGCGCGAGTATTGTTACGTAGACACAGGTCTTAAGATGTGCAAAGTTCTGGTAATCTTGGTGATTCAGTAATTTTCGTAGTCACGTAACTGATCTTGTTTTGTACTTATAAAATGCTTTTTGAAGATGTTTATAGCTTGATATTAGTATGATTATAACATTCACGTGTAGTGCACTCAGATTTTAAGTCAGCTTTTTGTAGTCTCTTATTGGTAGATTTTGAACACGCGTGATTCCGTTTAATCTGTGACCTGCAACAGGTTTGTCACCTTGCAGTACGCGCCGATGTCGTCTTAAGATCTGGATTTGATTTTATCGCCGTTCAGAGAGGACAAGTGCGCTGTTCTAAGCACATTTTGTGGGTTGGCTTACGACACTTTTCTTGAAATGCAAGATCAACTAGCGTGAGAGTCGCCCGGTTTGTTTTTCTTATATCTTGAAGTGAAACTTGATCGTCGAATAGCATATATTAAATGTAAGTCCTTCGTTTTAAATCCTTGCCTGTCGTGAGGAACACGTTGGAAGCGAATGAGGTGAGCCGAACTACCAGCATTCCGATACACATTTTCAAGTGTCATTGCGGCTAGGAACTCTGCTTCACTTAATTCTCTCTGGAGTTGCTCGTAATTTTTGGCTGCTTGTGCAGACTCAAAATTTAATATTTTACTTGTTTATATTGCTCAATTACTTATTTTCTTGCCATTTTCTACCTTTCAACACTGACAAAGATTGTAACAGTGCGGCGTGGCCAAGAATTAATCTGTGCACCAAGGCGGATTATGTTGACCACTAACACTTCATACGGACCAGTCGCGCTGTCCGCAAGTCTTCATGCGCAAGAATTTCATCCGACACAAAATCAGGGACTCAAATGCACGAAAATAATGAGTGGGAATGGATGCTGCTCCAGAGAAGAAATATCACTGTTGAAGTCTTATTATCGCATCTGAAGTTAACACAATCACAGTGTGCAATTTTAGACCACGGGAGCGTGACGTAGCAACTCGTGCATTTGATTACTTGACTGTCTCCAATGCAGGTGTAGTAAAGTGCTGGTTTCTCACCTATTTTAGTCTCATGCTATTCCGTTCTAATTTAACTCACCAATTTATTTATTATCTTATGTAAGTTGAAGTGAGCGAGCGGCGAGGACTTCGTTGTTTAGCCAACGATCTGCTGTGCATTAAACTTTGGTTAAGCGACGGTCTTTGAAGCATACCTCACATCTGCTGCAGGCTGAGCTCTTGACACTGGGAAAGAACGCCTGTTGAAAGCTTCAAGATGAGCAAATCCATAACACATTAAACGAACTGCTTCTTGAGCGATAAAGAATAAAGTGGAATCAATGGACGCGAGTTCGACGAATCAAAATTATGTTCACAACATCGCCTCTCTACAGACATTAATGACTCGCATTTAACAGTTATTTTAAGGCGCAGTGGGAATTCACACAATGAAATTTAACGGGCGCCTGAATATACCTACTCAAACGCAAGTTTTAAAAGCAAGTTAAAGGCTTGAATGAGTTGAATTCACGATTTTTCAATGGAAAAGACGCGAACGGACTAAACATCAGCACAGAATAACAATAATCGATGAGAATTAGCTCACATACGATGGGAATAAAATACAGATTTTCATCAACATTTACATAACATAAAGGCTGAATTTTTATGGTATAAAACGCATTCAACAATATTCTACACTGGTCGTACATGGATTTTTCAACAAAACAATGTACAGAAGATTGACTAGAAGCAGATACGCAATAGCAGAGGTGGCTACGGCCGACAGGAGAACTGCGCTGAGATTTTCCACACAGCAGCTCAGGACCTACACTTTCAAAATAATTCGCTAAGTGAACGTAAGTGCTTACGCTCTAATTTCTCGTCTATGATTGGTGGATTTTGCTAGAAAGACCGTCACTGATTGGCGGATGAACTTACGATCTCTTAACTTTTTTTGAAAGTATAAGCCCAGCTTCCTTTGTTGTGTCAGCCGCGCTCACACCGCCACAACATTTGGTTCCTAGCATTGGTTGGTCCGAATGCCACGCATCGATAAAATAATGCGCATGGTATAAATCTTTCGACAATTGGTTAGCATTGCTATACATACGAGAATAATCTTCCCAGATGGTTCGACATGAATTATACATGGATGAAAGTCGGAACGAGTCCTCACATCAAATCTGATCAAATCTTTTACACGAGATGCATTTTATAACTGGGTGTAAACCCATCGTATGGAATGTCAGATAAGAAAGGTTAAAAATTATATTTTCTCTAAACAATTCTAAAATTGATATAATTCATAGTTACTGTAAAAAATGAACATTTGCCTGCGCACAATTTTTCGATGCGGTAGTGAGAATAAAGCAGAGGTTATTTGAAGCATTGATACAAAACGCGAAATTGAAAGCATCAAGGGAACATTGAAAAAAAAACTCAAGATGGGGTACCCAGCATAGACATTTTCGTGACGTTTTTATTTATCCCTTTGTATGCGGATTCATTTACCGCCGTCAATGCTATTCGTACATAAAGGCCATGCAGCCGAGAGGTGCCATCAGTACACAAAGGGTAATTGTCTGATTGTTGGCTTATTTTCAGAGCGTTAGTTTGTACAACAGACTGATGATTTTGCTACGTAATTTAAAGATCGCTCGTGTCCAGCCAGCTCACCGAATTCCTCAGTGTTAATTAATGCTTCCTAAATAATGACATCATCTTTCTTGTCCCATACAATCCGAAGCAGAATGTGGACCAAGATCGTGTGAAAGCTAATTCATAGGAAATATAAATTAAGAGTTGTCGCTGCCACTCGGATACTTACATTTGAACAAAACTTGCAGAACATATTAACTCTTCTAAGACCACAAGACCATGGCAAAAATTCAAGGTAATAGATTCAGCAATACATGGTTCAAATATACCTAATTTGAAGATATTTCTAAATGCTTAAGAGCCGTGGCAACAAAAAAAAAAACACAATACACTACAACGGTAAAACCATAGAAATTATTAAAAGTTAAACAACAAAACAAAGTGAAACAGGTAGTCAACTTTATC